GCCAGGAAGTCATACATTGGGATAAACAAGGTCCTCCACAGAGAACTGCTCAACAGCCTATAATAAACCATAATGGAAAAGGACGCGAAAAAGTATACAGACATCTGAATCACTCTGCTGTATACCAGAAACTAATACAACACTGCAAATCAATTATGCTTCAACAAAATATTTTTTAAAAATTTGAAAAGTTGTTTGACAGCACATAGGTCTGGTAGGTAACATGGTTTGATAGAAGCAGATCAAAAGTAACCTGCACCATTTGGCTGCTTTCCACCACTTCACTGTCTCTTGCTACATAATTTCCCAGTTATAAAGAGATAAATTTGTTACCAACTAAAAATAATTTAAGACATCTTTTGAGGGGACTTCCTTGGTGACCCAGTGGCTAAGACCCTGTGGCTCTCAACGCAGGGGGCCGAGATGTGATCCCTCATCAGGGAACTAGATCCCACGTGCTGCAACTGAGAGAGCTGACAGGTTGTGACTAAAGATCCCACACGCCACAGTGAAGACGGAAGACCTGGTCTGCTGCAACTAAAACCGGTGCAGCCAAACAATAAATAAAAATAAATATGAAAAAATACTTTCCATTTTTAATAAAATAAAACATCTTGTGGGAATCCCTTGGCAGTCCAGTGGTTAGGACTCGGCTCTTTCATTGCCGGGAACCTGAGTTCAATCCCTAATCAGGGAACTAAGAAATTGTAAGCTGTGTAGTTCAGCAAAAAAAAAAGTTTTTTTAATTAAAAAAAATAAAATAAAAATGTCTTTTAAAAGATATGAGCTACTAAAGATACCTGGTAATTTTGGGCCTAAAACTGAATGTATCTTCCAGCACCTAAAGATCGTTCTTTAAACTAATGTATGTGGCTGCATCAGGTCTTAGTTGCAGAATGCAGGATCTTTTGTTGCTGTGCACGGGCTTCTCTCTAGTTGTGGAATGAGGGCTAAGTTGCTCCAGTTTACATGGGATCTTAGCTCCTGGACCAGGGATTGAACCCAGGGCCCCTGCATTGCCAGGCATATTCTTAACCACTTGACCATTAGGGAAGTCCCTAAAGATCTTTTTAAAGTAGGACATAGATGGACATGGACGCTTTACCCAGTCATTCACTCAACCAATTTAACTGCAGGGGTCTACTCCATGTAGGAAAACAGAGAAAACAGAAAAGACATCCAATTCTAAGGGAGCTTTGTTTCTAGAAGAGATAGAGAATTACAAATTGAGAAAAGTTCTACAAAGGCAAAGTACAGGATGCTATAAAAACGTATAATGGGGAAAACTGATCTAGACTGGGAAATCAAAGAAGGATATGCTGAGAAGTGATGCTTAAGCAGGAATCTGAGTGGCGGCATTCACATTTATGCTAAAACAGATCTCCATAAAATCAGAGTTGGTACAATAAGCCCAGTACCTTGGCATCTTTATCCTAAAACCTCTTTTTTTAAAAAAAGGAAACCAAAGTATGCCATAAAGAAAGCTAGCAGCTGAAAGTTCTTGGGTAGAAGGGTAGGGTCTCATCATCTTTGGGTATCCCACGTTACCTTGCCGAGTAGAATTATCATCATAGCAGTCACTTAAATCTTCGCTGAAACAATGAGTATACCCTCAGTAGTAAATCAGTGTCCATATTATTTTTAATTCAGCAAAATAAATTTACAAAACTAGATGTTTTCACACAAGAAACCTTACTCGGAACTTTGATTCTGAAAAGAAATGATGCTTTTATCTACCTCACAGGATTGCAAGATTCAATAAGCTTACACAGTGCAAAATGCTGGGGTAAATTCTGAAGAGCCTGTAGTATATGGTTATCTGTGCAACCAAAAAGCTAGATCAGTCTCTTCTCACTAAGACAGCTGTTTAGATTCAGTTGTGCTTCTTTGTCATGAATTTTTTACCTCGAGAAAAAAACTGATTCATAGTTTGCACATCCTCTGTAGCCTTGGCTTTCTCCAAAGGGGTGCGACTCCATAAACTGAAGGTCCCTTTCAGCTCCAGCAACTGACCTGTGTTTTCCCAGGGCCAAGACTACACTCCTCACCTTAGGTCTCTGACTACCTCCTCATCCACTCTAATTCCCCAGGACTCCACACTTGCTTCCAGGACTGACAGGACAGAGTTCACAATTTAAGGTTTTTAAAAGACCTAATTTTGCAGCAGCGTGCATGGGCCTAAGGAATATTACACTTAGTGACATAAGTCAGAAAAAGACAAATACTGTATGCCATCTCATATTACATGTGGAATCTAAAAACTCATACAGACGAACATCTACGTAAAACGTAAGCAGACTCACAGAGGAAACGAGCCAGCAGCCACCAAAGGGAAGAGGGAAGGCAGAGGAGCGAGTCATGGGGACAGGAGGGGCAGAGACGCCGCGCGGCGCCAGCAAGGACCAAGGGTGTGCCGCGCGGCACCGGGACACGGCTGTCAGCCAGCGCTTCTAACGCAGCACGGCCTGTGAGACGCTGGTCACCATGCCTTACACCTGGAACTGATACTATACTATGGACCAACTATACTTTAATCACATGAAGGACCCACTGTCAGATTTAAGTTGAATGTATTCATCAAATTTAAATCTTCTAAATGACATAAATGATCTTATTGTTGTAAAACTTTATATGCCCCAAAGGAAAAAATTTTTTAAGAGTTAAAACGTCAAAAACAGATTTATAACTCCTAATCCCCAAAAGTAAAATTTGAAGTTTTTAAATTAAGGTTTAATTCACCTTTAATTAAGGTTTTTTAATTAAGGAAAAGTATCTGCTATGTTTTAAAATCAGAAAACAGAATCATAAAAACAATCAGTTATGCTCAGAACAGAAAATAAATGCAAACTCATTCATGGACATGATTTTTTTTAAAAAAATTACAGTGGCTAGAAAAGAGCTTAAATGTCCAACATATAATGCAAATGTATCCACAAGATATTACCACATGAAAATGAAATTTTACGGAAAAGTTAATGTGCTCAAGTAAATTACACAGCTGAAGGCTCATTTACATGTTTAAGATTTGTCTTGTTTAAAATCATTTTTTGAAAAAAATAAAATCATTTTTTGGTGTAGTTTTGAAAAGATCTTGTAGTTTATCCTTCATTGAGTAGGACTAAAAGTAGGCACCGTTATGATACTTCCAGGCAAGAGACCTATTTTTATGATGCAAACCAGAGCTATCAGGTACAGATACAGTTTGCCACTAAAATGCTTCAGAAACAGCATTATTTTAGAAGAAAAAAATTTTTTAAAAGGTAATGTCTACACTAGTAACAATATAGTTGGCTTTTAGGCACTTTTAACTTTTTTTGTAAATCAATTTAATAACTTAAAATTCTAAACTGTTTTCAGAGAAAAAGCTGACCCTTTCAGTCACTGCATCAATGTCAAGATAAACGCTCCTGTTCGACAGATGCTCTTAACGCTTATTTGAACTGTATTTCACATCTACTGAATGCTTTGGGCCTTTAAAGTCCATTGTAGTCATCATGCTAAAGATCACAACAGCTGCACTACAACACCCTCTGTTAAAGAGCTGCAGATAGAAGCTGAGAAACTCGTCCAAGGCCGCCCAGCAGTCAGTGACAGAGCTGAGGGCATGACTAAAAACTTCACCGCCTAGACTACTCGCGACTCCAGACTTCCAGTTCTGCAAGAGAACAGTCAAGAGATTTGCCCGCAGTGCTTTATAACAGGATACCTCAAACACAGTAGTGTACTTAGCGCAGACACTAACAGAAAGGCTCACCTGGGACAAATGAGGCAGCTTGCTCTATCTAGATACCACTGCCACATTCCTAGATCCTGTAACCAAGCAAACCCCACTGCTTCTGGATACAGTATATCCAGGGAAACGTTCACCCTTCAATACATACAATTTATTTTCACACTAACTGGCCATTTATAAATTAATCTGTTAACACCTTTTCCCACGCCCGGGTGCTGGCGGGGGTGGGGGGTGGGGTGGGGCTGGTGAGGCATTAATTTCCTCGTTTTCCCAAGACTCAACTCCCAGACGGCGTATCTCAAAAGTAAGCAGTCGTCAATGAGAACACAGTTACGTAGCCAACGAAAGAAAAGTTCTAATAAGTTCCTTCTTTCAAAGAGATACTTTAAGAGGATGATTACATGCTTGCCAGAATTACTGTTAAAATCGCCCGCCCAGAATAATGGTTCTTGTGAAGCAGCTTTTAAGGCATACCCCTCCCTTGCTAGGCACATACAGTCTGACTTGTTGGACCAGGATGGATCTGGGCACGCTCCTACAGCATCCCTAGGAAGCAGCTCAGTTCACTGAAACCATCTCCTCCACTCCCAAGTGTGGTCCTCATTCCGTTCCATACTGTAAGGGACAAGATGACCCCTCCCTTAACAATCTCTCAGAAGGAAGGTTCCCTCCGCGGAGACAAGTTGACAGCCGGCCTCCCTCGGATGATTTTTTTTTTGGAAACGGCGAAGTGTTAACAGCAGAAGAGGCTCCTAGTGAGCGGCGGTGCGACAGCAGGTGAAGTGGCCCTTGGTGCCGAGCCGGTCCATTTCTGACCGAGTCCTCCGCCTCCCAGCCGGGTTCCGCCTTACAAATCTGCCCCCAGCCGCCCCTGGTCTCTCACCCAGAGCCGGACTCGCAACCCGCCCCGGGAGGCGAGGCGGCCCAAGCCGCGAGCAGACGGACACCCCACCTCTTCCGGGGACTCGCAGGCCCGGCTCCCCGGCCGTGTCAGAACCTGACAAACCCTGCCGGAGGGGCGGCAGCCGGCCCCACACGTTCCCGGGGGCCTCCCAGCCGGAGCCCCGCACCCGCGGCCCCTCTCCACCGCCCCCGCCGCCGCCACTCTCCTCCTCCCGAATCCCCCCTTCCTCAGGAGCACTCCGGTGGAGTTACCGGCCCACTCCAAAGTGAGAGCGGTGGCCACCCCGGCCTCCCGCTGTCACCGCCCTGCCCCCGACCTCTGCCCACGCCGGGGCGAAGTCCCGCTGACGCCCCCGGTCGGTACCTTGCGGACCCCCTTGTAGATATAGAAGTAGAGCTCCCGGCCCACATTGAAGCAGAGGCGGTCGCCGTTACCAGACTGGTCGTTGAGGTTTACGAAGGAGACGCGGACAGGGTTAGAGCCCTGCGAGTTGAAGGGCACCCGGTTGGGCCGGCTGTACTCCGAGTGCGGCAGCAGCTTGTACAGACCTTCCCGGGTGGTGAATTGGGTCTTAATCTCGTTCATCTCCTTCCCTCCTCCCTCCGTCGCCATCTTGGAAAGCAGCGTTCATCCTGCCCTAAGTGCCCGGATCACGCCCACCGCGCAGGCGCCGTCCCCGGACTCTCGCTCTTTCCTCCCTCCCCCCCCCCCGCACGCCCCCGCCCCTTCGTTCTGGCCCCTCCCACCCGCGAGCCGGCCCCACGGAGGCTGGCGAGGAGAAGGGGCGGGCTTGTTTACGGCCCGACTGCGCAGGCGCGCTCACCTGGCGCCCTCCACGCGGCGGGGCGTCCGCAGGCTCCTCCCCGCGCCGGGCGCGGCCTCGGCGCGACCCCAGAAGCGCGCAGGTGTTGCGGTGCGGGGTAGGGGCCGGTGGGCTGACTGTACTGAGCGGGCTAGCGAAAGCCGCGGCCGGGCTGAGGTTGGCGGCGCTGAGGGAAACTCGGGCCCGAGACCATTAGGGGCTGAGGAGGGAGCCGCTTCAGCAGCCGGCAATTCCGGGTCGGCGCGTGGGGTGCGGCGAACGAGCGCGGAATCCCCAGTGCTCTGACCCAGGGGAGGGCGCGGGGGAGCCCCGAGGCTGGGAGGGGGCGGGCCCTCTGTCCTGATCCTCCGCTGGGCTGCCCCGCGCGACCGTCTGGATGCGGGAGTCAGGAAGCCCCTCTGCGCAGTCCGTTTCCGAGAAGGTACTGAAGGACCTCAGCTTGCCGCTTCATCTTTTTCTTTTTTTCTTTTTTTAGACGGATTGGCGGGGAGAGGACGTATAGATACGTAACATCTGTGTTTGCTAGTCAAATATCTGCATACCTATCTGTGGTGAGCTTTGGCTAATTTCAGGAAAGCCGGTTGTGTCGGCGCTTCTGTTTCTTAAGTTTGTCTCCCCCAGGTGTTTAGAGAAAAGGGGAGGGGTCGGGTCGGGGAAATGACTTTGGGAACCAGATACTGAATCGAAGCAGGATTCCCTTCTTTTGCTCCACAGTTTATTAAGAGCTCTCCATAAAGTTGGAGGCTGTTGATATTTGTATCAGGCTCAAGTGGAATCTGCAGAATGGTTTACTCCGCGTAGTTGTGGGGATGTACTGTACTCGGTCTCGATTGTAAAGCAGGAATGCGGATTAAACCATCACCCTTTTATCCCTGGGTTTCTTAGCATATTGCACTAGAGTAAGAGAGTTTCTCAAGTGATAAACATTCTGATAGATTTTCGCGGAGTTGGAGTGCGAGGCCAATATTTGTTACACCAACAATGTTCTGTTCCCTCAGTACAAATCATAGATGCAGGGTCACAAAAGAAGTAGAGGGAGGTATGTTGTAAAGAGGAGTTTAAATCATAAACATTTTATGTATCACAATGCAGGCAGATGCCAGTGCAGACGGCGTCACTGATGTAATAATGCGTTTGACGCTGACATCCCGTAGCCGATGTGCATGTTGGCAGAAAAGCTCTAGAGTAAAATCCTACTTAAAGAATTGATTCCTAAAACACCTAAAATTCTGTGTTACAATTGTTTTGATGTTATGTCTTCTGCTAAAAGTCAGGTATCAGAAGTCTTTATAAATGCCACAATGTATTCTAGTTCCCATGGATTTACCCCAATTTCCTATAACTATGTTATTTTACGTTGAAAATGTGTATAATCTCCTTGAAGGATAGTGACATCCTGAATCGTCTAAAAATAATTCAGCTGTGTTCCTTAGTTACCACGGGGGGGGGGGGGGGCGGGAGGGGGCAATAATAATAATACTTGGAGAAGAAAAAAAAACCTAAGCTAGCAGAAATTAACCCTCAAATTAACCACAACTTTCAATTACCAATAATACCTATAACCTTAGTGTTCTGTTAAGGTTTTATTCTATATAAATTTAACATTTGATTGTGATCACAGTAATATAGGTTGTTCATTTTGTTCCATCCAAATCCTTTGAAAAATTTAATAGTTTTCCTCTTTTCATTTACCCTGCTACACACTCAACTCAATAAATAACACCAAATTTATATAACTGGGCCTGACTGATTTTCAGTTTCAAACCAGGCATTCTTACATGGATTTGTGCCTCAGATTCATCAGCCTCTAAATCTTATCCATATCTTCAAAGTTGAGTCATTATAGCTTCTTGCATATAGCTTTCCTTAGCAATATACTTCTCCTTCATTTACTTTTTTTTCCTCTCAGCTTTCCTGGAGTAGACAACTACCAAGATAATTTTCTTAAAACAGTGCTTTAGGGAGGGGGGATCAGGATGGGGAATACATGTAAATCCATGGCTAATTCATGTCAATGTATGACAAAAATCACTACAATATTGTAAAGTAATTAGCCTCCAACTAATAAAAATTTTTTAAAAATGCTTTAGATACTACATTATTTTGCCCCCAGAACTCTCAATGACTTTGATTATCCATACTATTCTGTTTTGCATGACTCCTCCATTCCAGTCAAACTCTTCTGCCGTCACCCTTAGCTCTTTGCCCTACCATGGGAAGATCTAGGTAGAGCTGACCAAGCATAGGAAAAAAATCCCACAGGGCACCCACGGCAGGAGTGTGCATAGCATGTGCAAGGGATAGCAAGACAGCCAGTGTGGCCAGAGCAGAGGGAGTGAGGAAGCCATCGCAGGCTTTAAGAATCCATCTGGGAAACTTCCTTCATGGTTCAGTGGTTAGGGCTCCGTACTCCCAATGGAGGGGACCTGGCTTCAATCCCTGATCGAAGAACTAAGATCCCGCATGCCATGGCCAAAAAAAAATTTTTTTTAATTAATAAAAAAGAATCCGTTTGCTTGCTGGTTTGAGAGTAAACTCAGGGAGACATGAGTGGACAGGGAGGCCGCTTCAGAGGCTAGCAGTAGTATTCCAGGCCAAGGATGATAGAGGCTTGGATGAGAAGTGGTGGCAGTTGAGGTTAAGAAAGACTAGAGAATCCTAGTTACATTCTGAAGGTAAATTCAATGGGATTTCCCAGCAGATAAGAGGGGACTTGTGGGAGATTTTATGAAAGAGTCAAGAATGACCCCACGATAGGCAGCTGGAGGATGGAAGTACCATGAACTGAGATGAAAAGGCTGGTTAAGAGCAGGTTTTGAAAGGAGGATTAGGGTTTCCCTGGTGAATCAGTGGTAAAGAGTTCACTTGCTGGTGCAGGGGACACAGGTTCAATCCCTGATCCGGGAAGATCCCACATGCTGCAGAACAACGAAGCCCATGAGCCACAACTATCAAGTCTGTGCTCTCGAGTCCACAAGCCGCAATTACTGAGCCTGAGCACCAAAACTACTAAAGCCCGCACACCTAGAGCCCGAGCTCTGCAACAAGAGATGCTACTGCAGTGAGAACCCTGAGCACAGCAGCTGGAGAGTGGTCCCTGCTGACTGCAACTGGAGAAAAGCCCGAGCGGCAACGAAGACCCAGGAAAATAAACAGAACTCTGAAAAAAAAAAAGGAAGACCAGGAGCTCAGTTTTGAGCATGTTGGGTGTGGGATGTCTATGAGGCGTTAATGGGAAATGTCCAGGAGGCAGTTGAATAATCGGGTCTGGATAGAAGTCTAGCCCACTGGCATGTGCATGTATTCAGCAGTCCTTAGCTGATAGATGGCCTCTAAAGACTGGATCCTGTCACCAAGGGAGTGAATGGGCACAGTGGGACAATCTAGGAGGTGGGAGAGAAGAGGAATATTTGTTGATGAAAAAGAGCATACTATTTTTTTTTTCAACTTAATACATAGGAGTATTCACTTTAGACCAAACATTGTTTTTTCCAACTCAGAGATTGGTTCATTAAGATGCTGAAAAGCAGTGTTTTGTTTTGTTTTTTAACCTTGAAGAGAAACAGTGTTTGCCACAGTGACCTTGGGCTTCTCAGATTGCCCTGGTAATGAACCTGCTTGCCAGTGCAGGAGTCCCAAGAGATGCGGGTTCAATCCCTGGGTCAGGAAGATTCCCTGGAGGAGGAAATGGCAACCCACACCAGTATTTTTGCCTAGAAAATTCCATGGACTGAGGAGCCTGGCAGGCTATGACTAGTCCATGGGGTTGCAAAGAGTCGGACATGACTGAGCTTGCATGCACAGTGACCTTATAAAGAAAAATGGGCACAGACAAGCGTCTTTAGAAACTACACTGGAGTTCTTTACTGACTCATTATATACAGTAACCAGTCTCTCAAATTTAGCTTGTTGATGAGCTTATTCTATTATTAATTACATCATGACTTGGTACATTCTTATAACACTGTTATGGGAACGGAAAACAAATTTGGAAAACAGCATGTAACATAGTGTCCTTAATACACCACTTCAACTTTGTATTTCAGATGTGCAGACTGGTTAAACTGACACACCGTTGGAATTGTTCAGTTATGATATGTACAAATTGATCTTGTGTAAAGCATCTTATTCTCTAAATAACCGTTATCAAGTGGATGCAATACTTAATATTTCACACATGCTTTGCAAACAAAGTACTTTTTAAAGAGCTCTTTAGGGTTTTCTAAGGGGCTTCCCTCATGGCTCAGATGTTAAAGAATCTGCCTAGATGCAGGAGACTCAGATTCAATCCCTAGGTCGGGACGATCCCCTGGAGAAGGTGCTGAAGAAGACTCTTGAGAGTCCCTTGGACTGCAAAGATATCAAACCAGTCAATCCTAAAGGAAATCAACCCTGAATATTCACTGGAAGGACATGCTGAAACTCCAATACTTTGACCACTTGAGCTGACTCATTGGAAAAGACCCTGATGCTGGAAAAGGCTGAGGGCAGAAGAAGGGGGTGACAGAGGATGAAATGGTTAGATGGCATCACTGACTCAATGGACTTAAGTTTGAGCAAACTCCGGGAGATAATGAAGGACAGGGAAGTCTGGCACACCGCAGTCCGTGGGATGCAAAGAGTTGGACACGACTTAGTGACTGAACAACAGTGCCGCTTAAAGGAAGTGCCTACTCTGTGGGCATTTTGCCAAGTGCTCACACACACCCTGGTCTTCATGTACCACCTGGTGATGGAGGTACCCTTATCTCCTGTCCACACATGACAAAAGAGAGCAGTGAAGTGACTT